GTTTGTGTTCCTCACATACATCCTGGGCATTGCCTGGCTGGGTGTGTTTGGCTTCTCCGCTGTGCCAGTCTTCCTCTTCTACAACATGTGGTCCACCTGTGCCACCATAAAGTCTCCCATGGCCAATCTCACCGACATCGACTCCATCTGTGTGGATGTTCGTCAGTACGGTAAGAGAAAGACCATTGCCAGACAAAATCTTATTTTATTAGTCTGTATTAAAGCATTATAGGACCACTCAAAACCAAACAATGTCAACTACTGAGCCCTTATCACCTATTGCATAATACACATCAGGATTAAATGATCTGCATGTCTAAAACTGTTGTAATGTCCCTTTTTTTGTTTTTCTTGTTATTTGATAAGACTTTTTTGTTATTTAAATGATGATATTGATGATGGTTTACATGGTGCAATGCATTTGAGTGTCCAAAGCCTTTGAATGTCTTGACTGCAGGAATTATTCCATGGAATGCCACACCAGGAAAAGCCTGTGGATCTACGCTAGGTGACATCTGCAACACCAGCGAGGTACAAGTTTATTCTTTTTCCACATACTTACATTAGCAGAGGAGCTTGGCATCACATTTCTGAACTGTAGAATAACACTGCTTTTGTCTATTTCCAGTTCTACCTGTCCTATCACTTGTACATCGTGGCGTGCGCCGGGGCAGGAGCCACTGTGATCGCTCTGGTAAGATTCCCTCCGGTCTCTCCATCCTCTCCCTTTAGTCCATCTTTGCACGGTTTGTATCGGCAGATCATGTGTCAAGTGCTCCTCTCCTCATACCCATATGGTTTATGTAACCACATTAAGAAAGATACATGTAGTCTTTTCCTCAGCTCCAATTCCATTTTCTGTTTACCATCTGCTTAGATACACAGCTTTGATTTTATTTCAAGAGGAATGACAGAGTGCAGTTTGTGCCTTAAAAGACTGTAATTTCTAAAAATCACAATCAAGTAGAATTTGTAAAATGATGCTTTCATTTTTTCCTTAACTTTTACTGCTGGAAAATTGGTAACTTTCCTAACTTGTCAGAGTAAAAGTGACGAGGAGGTCCCCGGCATGTTCTCTTACAACCTTTTCTGTTCTCTTCCACCAGCTGATCTACATGATGGCTACCACTTATAACTTTGCTGTTTTGAAGTTTAAGAGTCGAGAAGACTGCTGCACTAAGTTTTAAACTGTTTTAAGAGCACGGCACAGCATTTGAGGCTGTACTGAGTAGAAGAAAGTTGCAACTGACAAAAAAATGAACTAAAACAAGAATAGAAAAATCAACATCTCTCCATTAGTATTCACATGAAGTGTAAATAGCTGACTGTATGCTTCCTTTAGCATTTGGTGTCCAGGGATGTAGCTTCTCTGAGGACACCTGATGAAAGTTGTCTTCAGAGTGGGGGGGTGTTTAGTTGGCTGGTTTGTTCTGCTTTCCTTGGCACTCACTTATAGAAAATGGCCACCCTCAGATTTTATAGAAATGTGCACAGCTAGAAATCCACAAGTGTTATTTATAAATACGTGAAGCTGATTTTAGAAAAAAACCAACAGTATTTTGCTTCCAGTACCTCACCTTGCATAACAGGACGAGCATCAGTTGACTGCAGTCAGAGCTGAAATGCACATTTGTGCAGAAACTCCTGAGACACATACATTTAAGATTGTTGAGCAACATACAATTGTAAAAATGTAGGTTGGAAAGGAGATCATCTAGGCTATATGTACAGTATACAGCTCTGAATCTAGTCCACAAATACATCTGGTGTGAAATTAAGTGTTCTCAGGCTTTTTAGTTTTTGCCAGATTCACAGTTTTAATGAAGATGAATTCTAAAGTGATACATCTGCAAAAGGAAAAGCTACAGAGGCAGAGTGCCTTTCATTGCCTTATATTTCCTTAGCAACCCATAAAACCATAAAGTGTTACACAGCAAATATTCAGTATTAATTATTTTGCCACAAGTCTAAACTGAACTAAAATGCTGATGAGTATTATGGTTGTGTTTATTGTAGATTTCAAAGTAAGCACATAATAGCACATCACACTGTGACAGGTTAGGCCAGTACCAGAGGAACACTTCTGCCTGAGGCCCTAAGCCTCACGTATTTTATAAATAAAAAATAAATTCTCCTATTTTAGAGTAGAGCAAATGTTTTTTTCTATGAGTGCTGATGCTGGTATTGCCTCAGCTATGACGTTGATATATTGTTTACTACATTTTCCTTCTCTCAAAGTGCCATTAAAGAGCCATTTGTTTTTATCCTAACACTGAGCCTGCATGCTTACATTTGTCAGATTCTTTGATCTGTTTATAGTTACTTATATTCCACATTTCATATATTTAATTTTCTCCTAAGTTTTTGAAAACTGTAGCTTTTACTTTCTATATAAAATAAACAATCTTTGTTTACAAAAGTATCCTCACTTGGTCTATTTCTTTTCAAACCGACAGCCGTATAAAACTGAACTGCGTATGGAACAGGGTCAGATTCACTAAACCCCATGCTTCGCACTAACATTAAGCTTTTACAGCAGCATACAACTTGCATGCCTAACCTTTGCTCTTTCTTTTTCCACTCATTCCCACCCGTAAAGTGTCATTTCTGTAGTGTTGTTCTTAGCAGGGTAGTAACATAACTTAGCAATGATTGTAACAGTGATGTTACGATGAGTCCTAATGTCTTCTGTCACCCTTGTTGAAGTCTTTTAAAAGCTTAACTGTATGTCTGTCTGTGATGAACATACTTTAGCTCTGACTCCTGTAGCTTGCTTTGCATCTTTGACATGCTCACCGGCCATCCACCTCACCCTTCTCTTCCAGATCCACTTCCTCATGATTCTCTCAGCAAACTGGGCCTACCTTAAGGATGCCAGTCAAATGCATGCCTACCAAGACATCAAAATGAAGGAAGAGCGGGAGCTGCAGGACATCACCTCTCGCTCAAAGGAATGCCTCAATTCCTACACATAAGGATATTACACATTCACAAACACACATGTACAGACACATAAACACACTGTGGCCCCTTTGGACCAAGACAATGCTCAGCTGTAATAACTGCGTGACACCGTGCAGTACTAACCCGGCTCCTAACACACTAATGCATCAGTGTTGCTTTCTGCACTAACTCACCAACAAAGTGGATCAAAACTGCTACTTATAATTTCATTTATGCTGTTTTTATTTTTGTATTTTCTGAAGGAACAAAGCAATTTTGAATTTATGTAGTCTAATTTTCTCTGGCCCTTTTTTATAGCCAGTTTTTTGCTGGCCAAGCTTGAGACATTGCACTATTCTTATACAACGCATACTGATGACATGTTTGTTTTACAGTCTTGCTCTGTCTTTCTTTTGAGCTGTGGGGGCCAGTTTTTAACAAGGGAATGTGACATATTTTCTTGCTTATTCTTTTCAATCACACATGCAGATTGTTATACACAACATACAAGGCCTTACATTCAGAGCTAGTGTGTGGCTGCTAGCTGGCATGTTGGAAGAACAATCACATTACAATGCACTGACAAAAGACTGGCATGTCACACCATGTTTTGCTTTGATATTACAGCAAAGAGAGATACAAATATATAATGTGGATGCAGTTCTTTAGTATCAAATATTTAACCGCATCGTAATCATAGTGATAATCTCAGTGATACTTGGTTCTAGAGTTTATGGTAAAGCTACTCAAGGGCTCCATTAACCCTACCTCAGGTGTGCACTAGAGCTTAAGAAACAATTTAACAAACATGTCTCCTTAGAAAAACCATGGTTTCAAAATATAATAATAATTGTAATCACACCAGGAGCTCCTCCACATCGCAGTATTTTAGCATTCAAACTTTATGAATAATGCCATAAGAATATCTTGCTTTCTAAATGTGAACTGCTGCCAATTATTAGACAGGATATTCAATATATACAAGTTTAGTCCATGTGTTTTCATTTACACTAATGAAAAAAAAGCTCTCTGATTCCTCAGATGCTCCACTGTAATATTGTATCATATTGCAATTTACGATCAAACTTTACTTGAGTTTGAAAACTCTTATTAAACAAGTAACCAAGTCCCTTGTCGATTGTTACTATGAAAAAGCATAGAGGTTAGGGTGTGAAAAATGTAAACTTGTTACAAGTCAGGATCTTTAGTGTTTTTTTTGAAGATACAACCACTTCATTTTGTTCTTAATTTGTTATATTGCACCAGTTTTTGATGTGCAATTGTCCTAATGCTGATATAATTACTCATGTAATCTTGTTTCTATTAGTTGATTTACAGGGATAAGTTTCTTTGTTGCATGAAGACAACTGTTTCTGCAGAGAGACGTGATGTACAGTCATGTTTCATTTGTATTTGTAATGCTTACAAATTAATCCTTTTTATGTAGCAGATACATTTTTTAGGTTATTTTCTTATAGTTAGAAGTATATAAGTATTGTATAATTTTGTTGCCTGATACCTGTATTTTCTATAAATGTCAAGGGCTTCTTCGTGAATTACAGATGCTTAACTTTTAATTCAACTTTCAGATAACAATTGATAGGACAGCTGTCATTAAGACATGTACAGCAATCTAAATGGTAAATCTAGCCAAAGTATGAAAGCTATTGTGACTCTGCCCAGTGTTTTACACAGTATCTGTGAGCTATTAGAGAATAAATCCTGCGTAGTTCTCTATAGAACTAATGGCCACATGTGTACAGTGACTAAGGAGAAAGGTGACAGAAGTATATGAAGCTTGTGTACACCTCCTCTGATCTTTGCACCTGTTGAATTAACCAAAAAACAAAATGAAGGCTACCCATCAATCACCAGGAAGACAACAATCTAGCATCCTGTCTGACTGGAAAGAAACCCTTTAATGACATCACTCAAACGCCTGTTGACTGTTTTTATGAAGAATAAAAAATTAAACAAACTTCACTTTGGTGTGGTGATTTTTTTCTTTTGTGTGATAAAAATATCTTGTGTGGTTTTAGTCAATGAAAAAGAAATAAAAGGGTGATGAAATGTGATTTATTAAAAACATATGGAGTGAATATAACATCAAATATACAAGTATATACATAGAAAGGCAACATCTTAAAAACAAAACATTACGTTTGTATAATTCATCTGTTTATGATGGCAGCAGCTCACCAGAAATCATCCTCTTCATCCTTGTGTGAATATGCTGCAACGCTGGGAAAGCAATTTCAAGTTCATTGGCGTTAGCCTCGAGGGACAGAAAACAAAAAGCAACAATTGTATTTCTCAATGAATGTATCCTCAAGACAACATGCTTCCAGAGCAAGTAAGATAGACCAGGAGATGAAAACACAAAATTAAATGTTTTTGTAAGAAGATTATGTAGGCTTGTATATTTATTAAACTTTCCAACAGTCACAGCAAAGCTTTTAAAACTAAAAAAACATTAGTTGCTGTATTCTTAGGAAAAGCCATAAGTCTAGGCAACTGTTTTTAGTTACCTGTCATCTTTCCCTTCAGACAAACTCTTGGCCCCTGGGCTCGTATGTCCGGCTTCTTCTCTTCCCGGGCTCTGAAACCCCCCCACACACTCAGTTAAACACACTGGACAGCAGCTAAAAGTCATGCAACAAGAGCAACGTTTTCCACGAGTGTGTTACCTGGGCCTGCTGATTCCCTCTGGCTTCCAGGACCATCTTCATGTATTTCTCCAAGGGATTTTCACCTTTAGACTCCTCCCTGTCATTGGTTGCCTCTTGCTTCAGCTCTTCATCTCCTTTTGTAGCCCCAGTTTCTTCTTCTTCTTCTTCTTCTTCTTCCCGTCCTTGTTGCTCCAGCTCCAGCAAAAGCTAATTCGACATATATACTGTCAACACTCATTTCATTAAGTTTTCTTTTTTTATTATGTAGACAATCCTTACCGTCTGTTTCTCCAGTCTTTCCAGTTCTTGCAGCTCCCGCTCTCTGGCCTCCTCTTGCTGCCTTTGCCTTTGTTCTAGTCTTTCTTTTCGCTCTCTTTCCCACCTCTGCTCCTCGTCCTCTTCCATAGCAGACTGACGTGAGGCCTGCAGGACTTCTATAAAAACATATACATGGTCATGAGTCAATTTGATTGTCAGTCATCACGTTACTTCGGTTTATGATACAATGAAGGGCCATAATAACATGTACTCATACTGATGGTGTACAGTAGAAGGTAGCCATTCTTCTCATTTTTGGTCAACCAAGATTATAGGACAGTAACAGGGGGGGACTAACGACTCACCCGCCTGGCCCTGCATGTCTATCGGGTGTTCTGGGAGGTCCTGTGGGCGGGGGCCAGCGGGGCTGTCAGGGGCCTCCTCAGAGAGAGGGACGGCAGTGTCCAGGAGAAGCTCTGGAATGTGGCCGGGCTCTGGAGGGAGACATGCACAAAGAGATCTTTTATTCCCCACCATAATGCAAAAAGGGCCAGAGGACTGGCACAGAATACATAATCAGATGCCCTTCATCTTCACCATTGTGAGGGGCCACTGAGAGGACACTTTGGAAGCCAGTCACACACTCATTAAAAAACAGCCATTCCCAAATCCTCAGCCTCCACACCGGATATACTCCATTTTGTTTCATGGGATTTCGTTTAAATTAATGATAATGAGATTGAAAAAAAAAGACTATTTGAACATTTCTCTGAATATACAGGGGAATGTTCAACAGGAAAAAAACAGTATTGAATTGTTAAATAAATGTGGCGTTGTCATTGTGTTTAAGCACAAAAGCTTTCCCAGTATAAATCACAATTCAATGTTGCATTTGAAAACTGGAACACATTTAAATTAGGTATCACCAGAAGAAGGCTGCAGTGCAATAATAAAATGAACAAAAGACAACGAGAGTTATGCAGCAGCAGAGTGAACATGATAATGAAAATAAATCAACAACACTGGTACCTGACAAAATCCCTGTGAGATCTTCTAGGCTCAATCTCTCGGGCTGTGGGGAAGACTCCGAGCTGGAGAACACGGGCTGCAGATTTGGTGGGCTGAGGGGAACAAGGAGGACATTAGTATTCATTGTGTGTTAAAGGGCTGTAATGTCCTTTACAAAAGGATGGCAGATGGTACCTGGCCTGGTCTCGTGCTGTGCTTCTGAGCTGGGGGCTGCGAGGTGGACTGAGCTCAGAGGGAAAGTCACCTGAGGTCGCCACCTCGTCGTGCGGGGGGAACTGTCTGTCAAAAGACAAATCCGGGAACGGCAGTGGAGACACGACTCTTTCTATAAAATGCAAAGACTTCATGTTACTTAATGGGGGATAGATTATAAGCCAAAAACTGACATGGAAAGGTGTGACTGACTGTTTGGAATGATTTAACTGTGGTCATGTTCTGGCACATTAATGACATATTTAAGTGTCTAAAGCAGGCCTATTCAAATGGCGGCCCGCGGGCCAGATGCGGCCCAGAACCAACTCCCGAGTAGCCCAGCCTCCCGTAGCCAAATTCCTACACTAGTACAGACCATGAACGCAACACTCCGCGGTGCATAGAAACCACTAAACCACAACGCAGCACGTTTTTTGAAAGTGCATCTAGTGGTGCTAGTAACGGTGGTCCTATGATAGCAACTCTAAAACATTTCTCTCTCAACTCTGAAGCGTAAACAGAGACAAATCGGTCATTGATCTTGTGGAGCAGATGCGCGCATTCCAAGTCAAGCTGGACCTTTTCGCGACCGACTGGAGTACGGATTGGATGCTGCATTTTCCGACGCTCCACAAACACATCACATCCCCGACACAAATCACGGATGTGATGACAGATGTCATTGCGAGGTTGAAAGAGAACTTTGCCGGTCGATTGGATGGACTTGCTCTGCCCACAGAGGTGATGGGCTTTGTCAGAGACCCCTTCACTGTTGCAATAGAGGGGGACGTATCAACCAGAGCAAAGGAAGTGGTCCCCTCCATCGACGAGGGGACATTTACACTGGAACTTATTGACATGCAGTCATCCGTAACCATGGCACAAGAGCAGCGCATTAACGGGCCAGCGAAGTTTTGGAGTGATGTCAAAAAACAGCAGTTCCCTAACATTCAGAAAGTAGCGATCTGTGTGCTCAGTATGTTTGGATCAACATACAAATGTGAATCAAGCTTTTCACACATGAACTCAATAAAAGTAGCACTCGCTGCTCCCTGACTGACAGCACTCTTCACCAATGTCTTAGGATTGCATTGACTGTACGTTTGTTATATCTGCATAATGTTGACCTGTGCAGACTGGAATAAGGCTTTGTTAAAGGCCCAGACACAGCAAACCTACAGGTTTCTCAGTAGTGAAGTGGAAACAGCCTGTCTAGAAGGAACAGAGAAAATGTCAAATAGCAGAAGTCGGAAGTGACAGTTTTAAAACTTTGGCTCAATCTTTGTCTTGACGGCTTCCACATACCCACTTAAAGCCACACACACACACACACACACACACACACACACACACACACACACACACACACACACACACACACACACACACACACACACACACACACACACACACACACACACACACACACACACACACACACACACACACACACACACACACACACACACACACACACACACACACACACACACACACACACACACACACACACACACACACACACACACACACACACACACACACACACACATTCTTTTTTCAAGGTTCCTTGCTGGGAATAATCCCAAGCACCAATATATCTGTGATGTTTGATTGTTTTAAAAGAATAATTTGTGTGAAGCCTTCCCTGGGAAATTAAAGGAGTTGGGTCCGGTGGAAGATAAGAAGTGGATCTCCGCACCAAATATGTGCATATATACTGTTGTTTCTTCATGCAAAGGGACCCCTGTTTCTGACTGGCTGGTCCCGATACCTGTATCGCACAGCAGTAGAACTGGGAGTCCGGAGTACTCTGTAAACTTGTATTGGTGTTTTTTACCATTAAAATCAGATTATTGTTATAACTTTTATGCCGGTGTGTTGAACTCCCTCTTTTATCAATCTGACCAGGCTCATCTAACGGACGGCGCGGAGCACAGGTGGGCTTTGAGCCACCACTATTGTGTCTGCTCCTACAACGTGTAGTGTAGTATTCATTCATGTTATTTACCCTTATCCCTTGTTATGGGTTTGTGCAGGGTTTGACAGTTATTTTTGTATTCATTTAAATGAACTTTGTAATGTGTCTGGGTCAAATGTGACCAAAACGCATGATTTTTTTTGTTATTACTTGAAAAGTGAAAAAATTATAGTACTACCTCTTTTTGTTATATTGGAGCTCTTTAACTGTTTGTTAATGCACTTTTGATGTGCATGTGTCATATGTATCCAATTTTATTTTGTATGTGAGGACATTTATTAAGACTGCTATTATTGTATTCAGTTAAATGCACTTTGTGATGTGCCTGGTTTAAAAAAAAAACCTGAATATTTGACTTCTAAAGCAAACAAATGTAATGCTACAACTGTGCACTTTTTTTTCAGATTCTGTTAAATTAATGCTAATTTGTTGTGTTTTTATGCACTTTTTGACGTACCTTTGTTAGATGAACAATGAATAACAATTGCATGTTTTTCATCGCAGTAATATGTGTTGGTTTAAAATGTGTCATTACCCGCTTTTTACAGGCCGCTGAATGTCTGGCCCAGCTGCATTTTGTAGTTATAAATCTGGCCCAACTGAATGTGTAATTGAATAGCCCTGGTCTAAAATATATGGGCGCTGAATGCCTGCAACTATTTATCCTTTAACAGTTAATAGTGGTTTATTTATGTTTAAAGTGTGTTTAACAGAGGCAAGCATTTTCTGAAGTTACCTTCTGCACTCTCTCTCTGAAGCGGTTTCCTGGAGGAAGAGTGCGGTGTGGAGGACAGACGTCTGGATGGAGAGCTGCTTCCATTCTGCGGCTGACCATCTCTTAGAAACTGAGATTCAGTCAATGAATGCAGACTGTGGTCAGTGAAAACTGTGGACTGGGGTGGGTTTTTTTCTGCTGTGAAGGTGACTCGTGGCTGTGCGGCTGGTACGGTGTTTCTGGTTTCATAGGGGGCCGAGGAGGGGGTTCTGGTAGTTTGTGAAGACACTGGTCTGTGTGATTTGTGGGCAGAGTGTGTGTGGGAGACTTGTTTTCTTAGAGGACTGTCAGGACGATGTGAAGGATGTGCTCGTTGAGGGGAAAGAGGTCTTGGGGGAAGCATGTGTGATATGGTGGAGCGCACCGCCCTCTGCTGGTAGTTCCTGTAAGCTTCCTCCAAGGTCTCGGCCTCCTTCTGCAGCTCCTGGATCCGAGCCTTGGCCTTAGCCACCAGCTCCATGTCGGAGTCTGGAGCGTCACTCCAGGGCGGCTTGTGTCCTCTGAAGGGCCCACCTGCTTCACAGACATCACCATAACCCACCCTGGCCCTCAGCAGAGCTCTGTCCGTGTAGATGTCAGGGGGAACCAGCGTGTCAGTGCTGAGATCCAGAACTGAGCGATCAACAAGAGAGGGCTTGGGGTTACGCAGCACTTCATTTTCAAGAGCTGCCGTCATCGCATGGACACAAACAAGAAAGGGAAAGAAAAGGAAGAGCAAACAGGGAGAGTTGAACACTAATACAGAAGACCAACCACCAAAAAAGATGCTTGGAGAACTCTATACATGCAATTACAACTACAGCAGGATCTATTGGCGACTACTGTTGACTTGGCTTCCTTTACTTTTTAAGTAATTGAAAGTAGGGAGAATGTTTGAGTTCTTTACCATTTCCCAAATATTTTCCCTTTTATATTATGTTAATGTAAACAGAATAACATGATCCAAGAAAGGAAGCCAGTTTAGTAAAGTCAAATTGATAAAACAAGTTATGTAATACTGATTTTAACATTCATAACTGCATACACCAACTGACACAGTGACTAATGATATTAAAGGACCATCCACTTCCACACCAAGAATATTAATAAAGTTAAAACTGTTCAAAAGTAGCCTCTGATGTGCTGCACAACCAGAGGGGAAAAGAGATTTTAATTTGCTGAAAATGTTTCCATCATACATCCCATCCCTTGGCCCCGACCATTGTAGCTGGGGTGTATACTCAGCCAGCCACTTGAGTTAGAACGATTACAAAATATATATATTCATAGTTATCTTTATATTTATTGTTATTGGTGTGGATGGCCCAAGACGTGGCAGACAGCCACGCCCAGTCATGTGATACCTTGTTGAGTTTGGCGAAGCTGCATCTTAATTTCCTCGATGTGGTTAGTCATCCAATGGGATCGCTCCTCACTCTGAATCAACTGAGCCTTAAGCTGAGCGCATCTCTCCACCTGCAGAGAACAACAGAAAACAGGATATAACACGAGAGCTTTTCACAAAGTATAAAGTCTGTGCAAAGCAATTAAATGAGTAGAAGTCGACTGAAACACCGATTACACAACACATTCCCCAAGGGGAGAAGAAAATGCATGAACAAAAGAAAAGAAAAAGCTGACCACATAGTTTCCCACACTCTGCGAGAGGCTGTGATGGGACTGACCTCGCTCTGGAGCTGTGCCTGCAGCACCTGTTTCTGGTTGTCAAACTCTTCCTCATCCAGTCTGTGAGTGCTCTGCAGCCTCCGTAGGTCCGTCTGCAAAGTCAGCTGCTCTCTGGATGGCTTGCCCAAATCTGTGAGAAAAGTCAGTGCATCATTTGAAAATGCATCTTGTTTGCTAGTCCAGTGTCTACTGATTAAGGGAGTCATGTAATGTTTTATAAAGATCTGTGCAGCATGAGAGTATACCACATGGGGCTTCACACCATATCTGCCTTTTGTAAGTGATGAGGAGAAAGGCCTACTTCTCTACCATCATAGAGGAGGAAGACTGTATCCTCATTATTGATCCTCGGCCGTGGGTAAAGGGAGCCCTGTGTCACATCTCTCCTTCACTCCACTTCTCATCACTTTTTCCTTTAGTAGCTCTTTCTAAGAGAGTCGTCTACAGAGCTGCACTCACAGCACAGAGGCCCCACATTGGCAGGCAAGACACATTCAGAAAGTCTCAGCTGAGCCAGAAGCAGTGGGACAGACTAACTTGAATGCTTCACAGTACGCTGCATCTCCCACAGCTCACAATAAGCCCACACTGAAGCACTGTGAATGCAGCATAAGGAACTGGATTCATCTCTCTTTTGTAAAATGCAGAGATACTGATTTTTACATCAGCGATAACTCAAACATTAAAGTAACCAGTCACAAAGGACTCAGTTGTACATTAATGCAGACAGAAAGCCTTGTTCTAATCCAAGCTGTTCCTCACCTACATGGAGCAGCCGGTTCTCCTCCTGGGTCTCCTCCAGCTGTTTCTTCAGCAGCCTCAGCTCGCCCTGCAGCTCTGCGTTCTCTCTCTTCATGCTGGGGTAGTCACTCATGGTCTCCAGTCTCTCCCTTGAAATCTCCTTCTGTTGAGTCAACAGAGACATCTGCTGCTGTGCTGTGTCTAACTCATCCTGAAACACAACAGAAGAGACAGTCAAAAACACTGTAGACTCAATAATATATTTTATTATTATCACATCACACTGAATGATTGAATTGTGTTTAATTATTTAGTGATGTGTCTATTGCCAATTGAAGACCAATGGAGTTGTGCTGCTTACCTGCAGCCGTCTCAGCTCAGAACATGCTCTGCTGTGCTCCTCTAATTTTCCATTCATTTCAGCAGACTCCTTTTGGATGCGAACCGTTTCCACTAAGAAATAAAAGTCATGTAAACACAAAAGTCAAATAAAAACAGCTGGTTAGTGACATTGCATTGATTGAAATACTGACCTTTGTTTCTGTTCTCATTCTCGGTTAAATGTTCTGTTCTCTTGATGAATTCATCTCTGAGTTCAAGCTGGTACCTAATGTTATAAATGAAAGAACAACAATCAAAAATAGATTTTAAACTTAACATGAACAAAAAACCGGCTTTGAAAACATAGTGGACTTTTCCTATTACAAGGTAGAAGGATACAGAGTAATGGACCAAAGCAGCAGCTATTTAGTAAATAATCCGGTCCTGTTATTGTACGTTACTCCACTGTGATGGCCAAACAAATGCAGTCTGTAATTACAGTCATCATCGTTTGAGGTAATAGCAAATAATAAACAAAAATATTCAAAAAGAAAAAGCATAATCTGTAAAAACAGTGACATCCTCTGGTCACACAATGACAATATGCCTAACAAGGATACATACCCTTATTTTGAGAGATAAAGTGAATAGAGTTAAGAGAACTTATTAAACGAGACTGCATAGTGAAACCAAAATGATGTTGGTTAAACTGCTTCTGACAATGTGAGCCAAAAATAACACAATCAAATACCTGGAAAGTTCATTTTTCAGTCTGTGGTCGTATGTGTCCTCCGTGGTCTTCACAGTCAGTTCTCTCCTCCTCAGCAGATCTTCAGTGGTCTTGACTTTCTCCTCATGCATTTGACAAGTCCTATCACCATACAAACAAAGTCAATAAACCAGTGGTCACAGTGAAAGAGCATAGCATCCATTTATCACCACGAATGGTAAAAAAAGAAAAGAAAAGAAAGCCCTTACTTTTCAAAAGCCTCCATTCTCATCCTCAGCTCATTCTCTCTGTTTCGCACTGTATCGATTTCTTTCAGGACCGACTGTCTCTGCATGTACATATTTTTTTCTTCAAACTAAAGAAAAGAGAAACACAAATAACAACATGCATTACACCATCTTAGATTGAAGCAGTTAGGAATAAAGCAAATGGTTATTGGAAAGTTGAGAACCTGCCTAATGTCAGTTTTAAGAAATAATGCTTTGCTTAGGTTTTGCTGAACAAAGCACATCATCATATTAGCAGTAATCTACCTCTTGTTGCTTTTGTAATCGATCAATGGCATTTTTCTCTCGTTCCATCAACGCCTTTGCCTTCATCTCATAAGTCCTCTCCAGATCTTGCTTCAGCTTGTCAAATTCTTTATGAAACTTTGCTTTTTCTTCCATCCTCACCGTGGCAATTTCAACATCTTTAAAATGTTGCATCTTAAGAAATAAAAAAACAGTGTTGAGACCAGAAGAAAAACTGCACATCAAATATTAGACAGTCATAAAACATGATGCATTTATACAATAAAGTTACACTCTGCTCAATTAATCGTATTTTAAATCGCGATTACGATTATGGCTTGCAACGACTACGAAAACAACGTAATCGAAATAAAACGATTATTTTTTTATTATTATTATTATTTTTTTTTAAATATATATTTTTTCAATAAATGGATGTTTTCAAAGTCAATGAATAATCGCATTTAATAATCGCAATCACAATTATTGACCCAAATAATCGAGATTATGATTTTTGCCATAATCGAGCAGCCCTACTGTATAGCATTTATTCTTGTGATATTAGTAACGAATACACGTACTTTTGTCTTCATTTCTGCTTGCAGCTGTGCTTCAATTTCTTTTCTATGGGCAGACAGTTTTGATTCCAGTGTAAACCATTTCTCTCCACTGTAATTTAAGCTCTCGTACTCCTTATCAATCATTTTCATCTTCTCAACTGTGTATGGAAGAACAGAATCATTAAAAACTCTGCATTCAAAGGCAGGTGTGGTGAGTACAATGTGACACTTTATCTCATCATACCCAGAGAGTCTCCATAACTTGCTTTGCTGGTTGTCTGGGTGTCAGCATCGTGACCAATGCTGTGTGTATAATGGTGTGTAAGCTGTGCTAGAAGGCTGATCAGGAACCCTGCTTGACAAAAATAAGATATATTAATGACAAGCCTTAGGGGCAGGAGCAGTTTTATAACAAATGATGCTTCATGTACATACCTTTATCATTGTTTTCTTTGTTTGAAGACTGTACAAAAAAAACATTAACACCATTATTACTAACGGGAATGAGTTATAATTTAAAGAAAAAATATTCCTATCACATTATGAATTACCAGAGATCTGTAAAGTGCTGATTCAGGACTGATTTTAAGAAGCTGAAGAAGGTCTCCGGTTGTTAAAACCTGCCAAAATAGATCAGAGACCAGAATATTCATATGCAAAGGTGTCTTTTACAAGCAGTACAATAAATTAGACAACAAACTCATTGCTAACCTTGTCTTTATATAGGCCGCTTTCAGGACAGAATACAGAGAGGGTGTACTCATATCCCGAGGAGCAGAGGTGATCATACACTATGCTGTTGCATGCCGACACCAAAAGGGGTTCAGATCTCCCAGGAATTGTTCGTGGGACTGGTTCTCCTCCAGTCAAATGTGGGTGTTTCAACTCCTGGATGAGCTGATTCCGCAGCTGTGTCTGAATCAGATCAGACAAATGAAAAAGAAAAAGAGAGAAGAACATTAAACTATTTCTAACGCGTCAGTTAGAAGAGTACACTAACCGCTGCAGAGCAACCAATAACATTTATAGCACGACTTACTTTCAGTGTATCAAGGACTCCTTTACTTTTAAACGTTTGATAGAGTCTTTTCCTCAGCTCGTCTGGGGATAACGTGTCTTCCTTGGCCGAAGACATAACTACACTGTCGTTGTTTTGTAGGTCCTGACAGAAGAGAAACAACAACAGCACGGTAAAGCTGACATGGTGAGCTAAACAACAAAAAATAACAGTTTTCAACAGCTTTTGTATGCCTACCCGACCGTTCAAAAATATGTCCCCTAAACCCCCAAATAAAATAAGCGTCTCTAAAGATACAATTATGTTTCTACTTACCAGCCTAACAACCAAAAAGCATCTCGGCGTCCTTTCGAGGAGGCGTGTACCACTAATTTAAATCCGTCAACGGATACGTTGGTTCCGGGCGCACAGTTATGACGTAAGGAAGAAAATCTGCAATTTCATTTTATATTTATTTTATTATTATTTGAAAATGTATTTTACATTTAATGCAACCATTATTAATAGAAAGCTAAGTTAAAATGTGTGTCGATGAACCGTTTTACCGGAGATAGTTGTTAATGTTTCTGCTTTACCATGTTGTCATTTGTGTGCGACTTCACTTGTTTCTCTCCAGGAAGCAACATTGACAGGTACACACAAATCGGTTGTATGACATTTATACGCCTTTCATTTTGTGCTTATGTTAGTTATCATACTCTCTTAAATGTAATACGTTTATATTTGTTATGCAAGCATTACTGAACGTCTTAAACGACGCCAACCGTTTTTTTTTAGCACTGCAGCTAACGTTAGCTTGCTAGTTAAAGGGCTGTCCGTCGATCAGGTGATGTTGACACAGATATTTGGAAATATTACATTTCTTTTACATGTTGTGTTTGGTTTGATTTTTTTCAGGACAGTTTGACTTTGCTAACAAGAAGGGAACACGATGTCTGGAAGCTTTTATTTCGTTATGGTTGGCCACCAGGACAACCCTGTCTTTGAGATGGAGTTCTTGCCATCGGGGAAAGTTGAATCAAAGGTAACGTCATGGATTAATAATAACACCATAATTTATTCCTGTACATATTACAAAAAAGTGGTCACGAAATAATAATTGTTTTATTTATTAGCATATAAGCCATATACCTCAGCATAACTGTCAGGATATATGTTAATGTTTGATATGTTAAAAATATATGTTCCTTTGTCATCTTGTTTCATTTTTGTGTCATTGACCACAGGATGACCATCGTCACCTGAACCAGTTCATCGCACATGCTGCCCTGGATTTAGTGGATGAAAACTTGTGGCTCTCCAACAATATGTACTTGAAAACTGTGGACAAGTTCAACGAGTGGTTTGTTTCTGCCTTCGTCACTGCAGGACATATCCTTTTTTTATTGGTGATACTCATAATGCAAACATTGGACTCTAAAGGGCATTTATTGTTTTACTGCCATTTTATAGGGTTGATAGGAACAATTATTAACTTGTTAATTTGCAGTATAATGTGATCACATTTTCAGAAGTCCCCGTATTGTTGTCATTCTTTAGTCAAATTCAAGGCTTTCATTACAATGGCTTTGTTTTCTTTAATTGTTTGCCGTACATATAAGATTCATCATGCTGCATGACGCACGACAAGAAGATGGAATCAAAAACTTTTTTAATGATGTATATGATTTATACATTAAGGTAAGTTGTCCATATGAGAATAACTTGGCGTTACATTTGTTCTATTTTTTTTACTTCTGTTTTTATTTATTTGTTTTGTCTTCCAGTTTGCAATGAATCCATTCTACGAAATCAATGCACCAATCCGCTCAACAGCCTTTGAGAGGAAAGTACAGTTTCTTGGAAAGAAACATCTCTTGAGTTAATCACTTCACATGAACGAGGATCATAATGCATCTTGGTTATTGGTTGTGTATATATAGCTACCACACGTTTGATGTCTGTCTTTCTTTTCCTGTTTAACAATTGTATCATGTATTAAACACATATTTTCTATAAAAAGTTGTCTGAAATCTATGGTAATATTGGTTGATCCTTTTTTCTTCTCTTGCATGGGACAAGCTGTGAGTTTGGCTGCAGTGTGTTGATTATTATTACAATATACTTAAAGGCATACAATCTTTTACTTATTAAAGACGGCTCAACACATGAAAAAAACATGTATAAACACAATGTTGAGCCGTGACATAGTTAGGTACTTGTGTTATCTACCAGTTTATGCATTAAATCATTGCAGTGTGTTATGGAAATAATTATCATAAGACGCCAATTTGTAACATACAGGACAAACCTCGATGTCTGTTTACCTTCTTTAAGGACACAGGCGGCTTAGCCAATAATGTTATTGTTCCCATTCTGTGACCGGTCAATACTGGGTCACAGATGGTCTGTGTTGTGGGTACACTGGGACACTTCCTTCTCTGTATTTGTGGACTCCAAGGTAAAATCTTCGAGGTCATAAGTGTCCGAGGCAAGTAGCTCTGTGTTCCCACACTGTTTAGGCTATCTCCTCAAATATGTTGTTTACTCTCTGCGAAACCAGTTAGATGGGCTGGCAAGAGAGAGGCTCTCCAGAATTGACGTGGCAACTCTACCGTGGAGTCAGAACCTCTGACTCTTGGATTTGTGATGTGAATACTCTGGTACCAACTCCAAATAAATCACAGTGGTTTGACATCAAAGCTCCGACTCTTCCCGTGTCTCCTTCGTGAGTCGGTGACTCCACTGCATGCTACACAGAAGTTTCCTCTACACAGTGGTTATAAAGCACAATTCAAACATTGGGATAATAAGCAGACAAACACAGTTTTAAGGAAACAAACCATGCTTTAAGGGAAAATTCTCAGGGAGTTTATTGGTAACTTAGCATAACAGTAGTCACTATTAATCTGTGCAGAAAAACACTGAACTGTAAGTATACAAATGTTAATAGAGTGCTTTAAAGATAAAAACGAAATGAAAACAATGGACCCAACAATGAGGAACACTTAATTAAATAATTGTCATTACACTTTCCTCAAGGCAATAGTAAGTACTTCTTAAAAAGGTACAATTTTGCAGAATAGAAGTTTCCAGGAAATGAAATACACCTGATGCCATGCATGTTAATGTTGCTTTAATATTGATCTTTTGTTAAGTGCTTGCAGCACACAGCCTATCATCACTACTCACTAAACAGAATGTGCATACAAAAAAGACCTAAAGGTGCAACAATCACAACAAGCCTCAATTTGTTAGTTACACATATTCCCACAGCTACTTCATAATTCTCAGAAATAAGGTCATTAGGCTGTATAAATTATGTTCTGAATATAAATATATAGGTCATAACTCTGTTTTATAACATTTAAGAGTGAAGTTATGGAAACCTATAATGATGGTACTTCCAAGGTAGTACAGATGTAAGGGTTGCATCATTTTACAATGTCACAGAATAGAACATTTGAGAAGGAAGTGAAAAATCAAAGACCATTCCTTCACGACAGCTTTAGAGTTTCCGACAAAAAATAAAGTGTATTTTTCTGCCTCCAAAGTCTTTGAAAGGTGCTGAATGAATGATCGGAGATGTTATGTTTATTTGTAATCAGACTGGGATGAGTTTAGTGTTTCTTCTCTGTCTCTTCAAGCAAAAGTCCCAAATAGCATTACCAAACCTTCAACAGTACAACAAATCATAAAGCCAGTAGCATAATTTGTTTAAATAAGATGTTACAACAGCATTGTAAACCTACAGCCTCATCACATAAAAGGCATAACAGCAAATGTTAGTGATAACTCCTGGATGTTATGAACAGCAGGATGTAGCAGAGCGAGGCTTTCTGTGAAGCTTGACTGTGTCTGTGGGGATGAGGTGGTCCGTTCTTTCTTCCAATGCCAACACTCTGCGCACTGCCTCGTCGAAGGCGATCGCTACATTGGTGGCGTCCTTGGCACTGGTCTCATAATAGGGGAAGTTTCCATTCTCCTGGCACCATTGTTGAGCCTCCTCAGTAGACACCTGCCTTTCTGTCACGTCCACTTTGTTGCCCAAGACAACGAATGGGAACTTCTCTGGCTCCTTAACATCTGCATAGTAGATGAACTCCTTCTTCCAGTTGCCTAAGTTGAGAAAACTCTGGCTGTCATCTACACTGAAGGTGAGCAGGCAGCAGTCAGAGCCACGGTAGAAAGGAGTCCTCAGGCTGCGGAAGCGCTCCTGGCCAGCTGTGTCCCAGATCTGTAGAGTAACCTGGTGGCTATCTACCTCTAGTTCCTTGTTGAGGAACTCCACGCCAATGGTGTGGAAGAGGTGTGCATCAAACTTGTTGGTAACGTAGCGGTTCATGATGGAGCTCTTCCCAACACCTCCATCACCAAGAAGAATGACTTTCAGCAGTGATGTTTTTGTCGTCATGGCTATTCACTCCCGATCGATCACTTTGAAATAGTTTACCTATTGGAGAGGTGCAAAATATATTTGTATTATCTGTACAACGCTAAACAATAGGTGCCAATAAATGCCAATAACCACCTTACGTTAAACTTTTTTTTTAACACAATTCTATGCTAAAATCCTTTTTGACTCACCACTGATTGACTTCTGGTCTCCACTTGTCAAGATCATGTGTTGTAGACCTTGGTCCTTTGTCACAGGCTCATTTGATTAATGATGATGTGAGCAGCCATGTATGTAGCGTTCAACCAGCTGTAACACAGCAGTTTCCTGGTTAACAGATGGCCCATGACAGCAGAGAGCTGGAAAGCCCCATTGCAATAAAGCATTATCTGCTAGCAAACGATCAATACAGTTTGTAAGCTCTCCAACAACTACACATATGTAGCCTCTGACATAATACATACTCAAAATGAACCTAATAGCTGTAACATGCTAGCACACTCATAGAGCAAGCAAATACTGTGTTTATCAGCTAGCTACGCTATAGCTAAGCTAACATAGAAAGGGAAAACGGGGACACAGCTAGAGTTAGGCTAATGAAATAGACCGCATTCGCCAGCTTAGTTTTAGTTCCGGGCAAAATTGATATAACCTACCGTACAATTCGTGTCAGATAGCTGCTGAGTCAACGAAAAACAAAACAGGAAATAACAGAAATGATATTAATGCATTCCTCTGACAGCTCCTCGCCTTGGCGTTGCTCGCGGTAACGTCACGTCGCACCGTTTCCTGGTGAACCCCAAAGGCTTGGTGCTAAAGCGGCTAACAAGCTAACAAGCTAACGATACATGGGCAGCCTCGGATCATGTGATCTTGTCAGACAGAAACAACCAACAAGCACTGAGGTAACCTCCAGGTCCTTACAACACATCCGTTCCTATTCAAATTGAAATAAATCATATAGCTTTAAGAAATAACGACATTTTATAGAGCATCTTTCGTGTCGTTTGTCAAACAATGTGACCAAATTGTTCCTAACAGCTACAGTAACAGCAGGTACAATATTGTACCTCTTTGTATGATTCATGCTTTACCACCAGAGAGCGACATTTAGCTTAGTTAGCTCCCAGCTGCACACTGGAGAACATCCACGCCACACCTAAAAAAAGTAATTATGCTGACAGACAGTTTGCAAACTTTACCACCTTTATACATCAATGGTTACCACATGGCAAGCTCACGTACATGTTGTTGTTGTGTTAATGTCCAAATACCTTTTACAACATATAGCTAACACAATGTAAACATACCAAAGTCATTATCCACAACAGAGGCGTTTTCTAAAGCATGATTACTTCATGCAAACACAACCAAAAGTATATGCAACTAGAGAAAGTTAGTGTTTTCTAACATACCAAGTAGTTAACTGTCCTGTGCCTTTCTTGCTTGCCTACTTGTTGTATATTCGTTCGAAAATGTATTTGATACATAGGCCTATGTCTACATTGACTATGTAGGTTACATTATTTGTTTTCTTTATGTATAGTTGTGCTATTTCTATCATTATGGAAGATGAAATAAATTAGTATAAACACTTTACTTACACTATTACTTAAAGCATCATCTCTAGCTGTGTAATTAGCAAACAATTGTGTTTTTCCCTTTCCAATATTGTGTTCACATAAGCCATACTTTTCTTACTTGGTGTCAGTTGACTACCACATCAATTTTCTGTAATAAAATATAAGCTTGGCTGGCATCCATACATGTCAAGTCCATTTGTGGTGGCATTTCATAAATTACCCACATTCTTTGTCATATTACTGTGGATTTTGTCCAGACTGTAACACTGGCTAATGATACATTTACTTTAATTACCAGAAAAACTCTAGGTGATATAATTCTGTTTGCAGGAACCTGCTGTAACTGACATGATCATATTTAGACGTAGCCTACGTGAACCATCATAAATGTGTCTGAGCGGGGAAGGAATGGAAGGCAGATTTAGAAAAAAACAAAACAGATTTAATGTAATAGTACACTATCATTTAAAAGCAAAATGTACAGCAGTCTTTCATTGATACATTTGATCATTTAAACTAACTAGCCTTCAAGAAATGTATTTATCTAAGATATACCTCACTTAAGAGTTCACATTACATGTCATAGATTATTTAATGTTAACTTCAGTAATCACATACACAAAAAAGACTAAGCACAATACTGTGACATCTAACTTAATAGACATGTCCATCTATTCCTGAGATCGGAGTTATGTATAACAATCACAATAGAGAATGGAGCCAGATGTGTTCATCTAGCAGCATGCTGATATTGTGAACATGCATGCACTGATAATACATATTCTTCCCTAGAGACTAAATTCTGTATCTTTATGTGGATGTCTTGTGGCTAGGCCAGCAAAAAACATGAGAAACTCCAGATCATATTACAGGCAGGAAACAGGAATCCTATGGATTTTAAAATTGTGAATCCGGGGTGGAGACTCCTAGATAAATGGGCTGACATCCTCTTGACAGGGCCCTGAGGTCAGCACAACATTGTCCAGCCCAATCTCTCCTCCAACCTCCTTCCCATGCTGAGCTTCAAAGAAAATCTGAAAGACATTCATAGCATTTAGCATTATGATAACTTATGTGCTGTTGAACCTCCTTTGGCTGGTATTATTGTTGTTCGCAGTTACAGCAAAGCTTTGACAATCATCTATTGATAATTATATTGTAAAATGATAAATCACTCACCGATGTTGGTGCCTCCTCTTTCCAGGTTACAGTGAGGATCTCCGTCTGCCATGCCTGGTCTCTGCTTCGGCTCTGCTCCCATACAGGGTAAGCGTTGTTATCCAGCAGCACCTTGAGACTTCCCACATTCTGGCCCACCACACGGAAGTCGAAGGTGAGGCAGAAGCTGCCCTGCTGGGCCCGGTCACTGAGGAGCAGCTTCAGCTTGGCTATATCTTCCGGCTCTCCTAGGAGCCCACTCATGGCCATGTAGTACTCAGCATCTGAAAGAGTTCGTAGCACATATTCTGTAAATGATTCCATCTAAATGCACTTAAAGTATACGTTAATCTGACATTAAAAAAAAACATACTAATCATACTGTTACCATTATGGTAGGATACGCTCCAGTCCATGTCATCAGTCTTGTCTTGGATCCACTCACATGCTCCCTGATCAAAGTTGCAATCCATAATGAACTCTGGAGGTGGAAACATTAGGAGCACAAAAGCAAATTAGTCACATAAACTGTCCTTATATAATAATGGCATCTTAACAGGTATTTCATTACCTTCCTGAACTGGTGCTATTAACATTTCTTTGACTTCTGTCGCTGGTCCAAACACAGATTCAAAGTCCTCTGAAACTGTATTGAGAAATTAAAGGGGAAAACAATCAATGTGAATTCATACATTTTCAGCCAGTTTATTAAGCACACCTGGCTTAAACTGTCTAATACAAACAGTCATGAATTAAATCCTTCTCGTATTACACCTATAGTGTTTCAACGGAAACTTAATAAGACTGTGTTCTTTTTAGCAAGGTGTACATAATGAATTCTCAACTTATGTATAATGTTTCAGCTCAAAGTGATAATCAACTAAAAAGTAAAAGCAGAAATCTCATGCAAAAACTTTGCCTCATACAAATGACAAATCACTTTTGGTTCATACATTCCTCTTAAAACATATTATCTTAGAAAAAGCATTGCAAAATGATGCAGCAATGAAAGGTTTTTTTTACCAACAGGTGTAGACCTGCCCTGCTGTCACTCATGTCTTGAGATGAAGCTACAACTTTAGGATACAGCCTCTCAAGTGTTTTAAAGCTCTCATAGAAAACAACCCCCATGGATAGCGGCCTCAGACAAGTGACAGCTGGGGTGATTGAACCTGTGCAGCCAGAGTGGGCTGGTGCTAGAGAGGTCTAGAGTGCTGATGACAGACTTTCCAACTAGGAGTCAAGTCTGTTTGCACAACAGCTGTTTTGGGAAAAACATAATAAAAGGCTTGGAGGCTAAGTAACCTCCCCCCTTCTTCACCCTCCTCCCAGGAGATAGGAAGCAGGACGAGGTGTGTCCCTGGGCTCTCACATGCTGACAGAGTAAAATTCCTCCCTGGAGGTGATGGATGTCTTGGGGCCTGTCTCCTCTTGCTATCTGAGTTCACACAGTCTCGGGTGTTTCCATAAAGATCAAGAGAAGTGTTGAAAGGTAACCTCATGTGTGGGGTTTTTCTTTGAGGTGCATACCACTGCAGAACTAACACTGTCCACTCTTTTCTTATTATTTGATGAAAGTGCCGGAGAATATGATTTATTTGAGTCTCATAAATGATCTATTCAATTAGATATAGTCACATCATTTCTTACATTTAGTACATTTATTGTGATTGTTATATTTTGTATTTGTTTTAGCCAAAGCTTTGATATTATGATATCTTTGAATCAGATTCAGTGTGTCTGGTTCTTCTCTGGAAATAGTCAAATAATTCAACACATTTCTAAATTTTTAGTAACATTGAACCTTCCAAAGATGTGTCTGAGGAGCTCCTTTCTTCTCTGGTCAAAGTGTTTGGACTGACCTCTTATTTTATACTTCATTCAGCCACATACTGAACAATCGTTAATAGTGTTCAAATGCTGTGTAGACACAAGAACAAAGTCTCTGTAGAAACTGAGTTTGTTTACTCTATGTATGGTTAATACATTATGGACCACCCAAAATGAATGTAAGACAGCCAAACGAAAGGACACTTACTGAAAACGTCTCCTCTTTGATTAAGACGGTTGTCTTCAGCCTCCTCGTCTTCCTCCTGCTCCTCTTCTTCTGCCAAAGGAAATACATTCACCTGTTCCTGCTCAGGGCCAACGTAGACCTCTCCATCATAGTCGAAAGGCTGCTCGTGGATCCTTGGAGGCGGCGTTGCCACTGGTTCCGGGATAAGATTTCTGATGTCCTGGTTGTCAAGTGTTCCTCCCAGAAGCTCAGGCCTCACTTGGGAGTCTGGGATGGCTGCGGGCAGGAAGAGGAAACAGATGAGACATGTGGAACCTCAATCATGAGTGGGAAAGACAGTATTTTACCAGGACTCAAGATGCGTTTGTCGTCATGTATTTTGCAGCTGCTGTTCTTGTCCTTCTCCATGCAGATGAAGCACTTCGGCAGCATTCAAAACACGCTTCAAGTGCACAAGCATTTTATCCAAAAAGTGCTCAAGGGTCATGCTGAGGATTCCAGGTCTCATATCAAGCTATGTGCAGAGGCCATACAACATTTCCAGCCATGAACAGTTGCAAAATGTGCTCTGAAGAGTAAGGAGGTAAGAGGAGGGAGTGCATGGGGTTGCGAGCAGGGAGTGATCAGCAGAAGCAGAGTTTTGGATTTCACACAATCTCACCATTTAGGAAATCATCTGCGCTGCCTTTGTCTCCATCCCACGACCGCTGATAAAACGGCTTAACTACAAAAAATAAATGCATCTTTGATTCACGCTGAAAACCCTTGCCTATTCTCTTTGTCAGTTGGCTACATGAGCTTCACCTGTTATAATCTGGATCTGGTTTAAAGAGCACACAGCTCAATCTGTGTTTCCCCTTCTTCTCCAGATGACTGGCTACCGTACAAATGTCCTATTTACACAGGTGTGTTTTCAATCTGTAGCTCTCTCTTGCTGACATCTGTATAGGATAGTGCGGTCTGAAAACAGGAAACTAGCCTTGGCACGACTGATGTTTGCTGATGTTTGAAGAGTTTAAATGAAATATGTGTCTGTAAAAGTGCTCCTGACCTATCTGACTGACTACTCTAACTTGGGAAAGGCCTGACACATTAGTTTTTTTAAATCTACGGTGAAAGGCCTTACTTGGATAGTTTGTTTAAGATCAAACGGCACCCCTAAAACTACTTGATTCATAATGCTGTGTGGCTGTTCTTGAGTCTCACCAGAGCATTCAAAGCCATTGCCTCTGTAGCCAGGCTGGCACCTGC